ATAGGTCATGTGGGGTGAAGAAGATCAAGACTTCGATGAAGGGAAAGTAGGCCTAGTTCAAAAGTAATGTGACGCTAGTAAATTTCTGCACTTACTGTGGCAGAAGTTCATTAAAAAAATGTTAATGCGTAATTATCGTCAACTCATGAAAGAAATAATTCATGAAATTACATTTATTACTCAAATATTACACAGCTTTTATGTTAATAAACACAATACAAAACTGAAGAACAAACACATTGAGATGGAATACCTTACACATAGCAAAAGTACACAAACAGAAGTATGCATGCTGTAATGTAATAGCCATTGAGCATTGCGCCACAAGCAAAATAGTACAGGTGGAATAATAAAAAATAGGGTGGGAATAGATGACAAAAAAATACCCCTGAAAACATTGTCATTCCAAATCTCAAGATATCACAGAGAGGCATTTATAGTGTTTATATATGGTGTTTAAATACAAGTAAATGTATCTGTTATGGAGTGAATAAGGCAGCTATTGTATTATTATTATTATTATTATTATTATTATTAAGATGTTTCCAGGGAGTCAATTAGCATATTACAATGCTTTCTTGAAGAACAGAATGGGAAAAATACATCTGTCATTATTTTATAATATATTAATATTTCATAAGATTATTGTGTTTGTATTGTAAAAAATGTATTTGTAATGTTTTAACTTTTTTTTCTTGTTTTTTATTTTATGGCGTTTCTAAACGAACTGATTTGCAAAACTTTTGATTGCTCAGTGTAGGTTGATAAACTATAAACTATGAAATGTTTCAAACAGAACTGAAAATGTTACACTTTTACCAGTTAAAACAATTTGTACAGCCACAATGCTACTGTTGTGATTGCTAGTGGTGTTGTCTTCACTGGCAATTACTTCCTGTAGTCCATTGTAATCACCAGCTGTGTTATACCTGTTGAAGATTACTTCCTTATTGAACTACAACTCCCAGAAATATTTGAGCCAATCACTCCTGCCTCAGCTGACAGCCATTTGGGCACACACACTTACAGCTGAAACTCATCATCACTGATTACACGAACAATAAATACTCTTTAGTTTCTCATTCACATTGCTGAGAATTAATTTGCTGTTACTGTCATTTAAAGCATTTTCTTTGTCTCTTGCTTTTTTGACTGTTTATTGTTTTCTGATTCCTTGCCGGCTGCCCTAAATTTGCCTGTCTTTGAATTACACTCTTGGATCATCTACTTCACTGTTTATGCTGGTTTTCAACCCCTTTCTGTGTGACCATTCTTAATAAAGTTGCATTTGCAACTACCCGTTTGCACATCATGCATTCGCCACAGCTACATTGTGTACTCTCAAAAAATGATTTTGCTGCTTGTTCAAACTACTTATTAAAAATTAGCTGAAACAACACAATTATTGAGATGTTTTTGGGACAACTTAATTGTTTTGTGTTCAATCCACTTAAATTTGTTAACTTAATGTATTTGTTTTTGGAATAACATGAGTGAATTGTGTGGAACCCTTCTTTTTTAAAGTGTATCGTACAGTAGGCTGGTAAAATATAGTGAAATGTTTTAACAAAGTTGTAATAAACATGGACTAAAGGCTGATTTATACTTCTGCGTCAAACGGCGGCGTATGCTATGGCGCTGACGCATAGCCCTTTGCCGTGGCCGTAGGCGTCGCTGACGTGCACCTCTCAAAAAATGTAACTACACGTCGCAACGACGCGTAGCGTAAGCTCTCTGATTGGTCGGCTTGGTAGCGCTGACGAGTCTGGTCGGGACCAAGAGCTGCGTAAATGGTGCGAGCCTGCTGAAGCGATTGTTTACAAGTGTGGAGTCCCGTGAAGGAGCTCCGGATGGAAAGTTTTGTTCTGTGTTTACCTTATGGTTAAAGTTGTTGCACGTCCGCCGGTTCCTGCCTCAAAATGAGTGAGTTTGAGCCACTTGTACATCCCGGAAGTGTTCAGGAAAAGCAAAAAAGCAGCTAAGAAACTCGACACAGGAACATTAACACCTCACTGCCAACTAGCGTTTCGGAAGTGTTAATGCAGACCAACAGAGACATCGCGCAGAAGTTTAAATGCACAGCCACGCGTGTTGCATGCGCTTTGGGTTACGCCGGTCACTTGACGCAGAAGTATAAACCAGGCTTAACTGTGAATGTTCTTCAAAAAAATTAAACTTTGATTTCTAACATAAAGCAGAGCTTTATGAAATTTGTTTAACTCAAAAAAAGTCTGGCCACAGTAAAAACTGAACTGAGAAAATGAGTTGGGTCTAATTTTATTCTCAGAAATGTTGCGGCAGTTAGTTTAGATTTCACTTTGTATATGATGGACTTCATAGAACCACACTGTATCTTATATATATATATATATATATATATAAACAATAAAACTGAGATAATTACGGAAAACTGTGCAATGACGACATAGAAAACTGAAGGTAGGAACAAATACCAGAGCGGACTTTGAAAAAGAGGAAGTCAGACGTTGAGTCAGCAAGTGAAAGGCAGATAACTAGTAAGGGATCAATGTATGAAGAAAGAAGAAGAGAAACAAAGACACTTACTATATCTTTGTGTATCTGTATGACAAGGCTAACCTCACGCTACTCATTCTTACACACAAACAAACGACTGAAAGAAAATGACGCTGGTTATAAATTGTCACATGATCTGACAAACCACAAATAAGTCTCTTTCGTAAGAGGAATATCCAGGGTTCTTACACCTTTTCCAAAATCAAATATAAAAACTTTTCAAGCACTTTCCTGATACATTTTCACATTTTTGGCAAGTGTGGTAAATGACATATTTATATATACATATACACACTTCACATTTCAGATGCTGCTTGTTATATAGTATAGTATTCTAATGAACATTTTGATGTTTTCCCTAAGCCCAGCATTGAATTACTGTCATTTACTCTTGTAAAATGTCATGTACTCACATCTTAAATGTGTCATGTTTTATTTCAAATTTATATTTACTTTCAATTCATCCACTGTTCACTCAAGAAGCGGTAATCTCCATGAATTTTGTCTTCTCAGACTGCTTAATTAAAGGGATCACATAAAAACAGCCAGATCCCACAACAAACACATGACACACAGTACATACAGAATCCAGTTTTCATTTTATGCAAAAGAAAAAAAAGACAAAAATATGTATACAGAAATACTTATCAATATTTAGTAATAAATATATATGTATATTATTATTGATTCATTTATTTAATAAATATTTGTTATAAATAACTATATAAATATTTATGAAATATTTATTAATATTGAATACATATTTCTATACAGTGGCCCCTCATTAATCATATACATTAAATTTATGTACATTATAAAAATAACCTGCAATTAGCATAATCTACAAAGTAGTTAGCTTTATTTTGTGCAATTATTATAGATGTTTTGAGGCTGTAAAACTGAATTTAACAAATCGACGATTAATTTATTCCGTAATGGCACCATACAACCGTGTAACTTCTACCTTCGTTTAGCATGTCCAGAAGTCTAACTTTTTGCACGATGGTTGGCATCTCCCTCTGCTTTTTGGATGCTAATGCAGATGCCTTTGACGGTGCAGAATGTTTCGTCGACATTGTGGGGTTTGTTGGGGAGAAAACTTGCAAACATACAGTACAGCACTTCAGAATCACACTGCTAGAGATTTTACCTCAATTTGACAAGCTTAACACATTCTGTACTGTACAGGTGAAAGGGCATGGAAGAGATCGATTGACAACGGTCTACAGCCAATCAGGACAGACAACACAATGCGCTGTAAAAAAAAAAAAAAAAAATGTCGAATTGCACTAAAAAAATCTGCGAAATTGTGATACTGCGAAAGGCGTTATAGTGAGAGCCACTTATATCAAATATATATTAATTAAATAAATAAATAAATATATCTGTGTGCGCAAATGCCTTGTTGATGCCAGAGGTCAGAGGTGATGAATGGCCAGACTGGTTCGAGCTGATAGAAAGGCAACAGTAACTCTACAGTAACAGTAACAAAGAACCAAGGTATGCATAAGAGCATCTCTCAATGCACAGCACATCCAACCTTGAGGCAGATGGGCTACAGCAGCAAAAGACCACACCGGGTGCCACTTTTGTCAACTAAGAACAGGAAACTGAGGCTACAATTTGCACAGACTCACCAAAATTGGACAACAAAAGATTGGAAAAACTTTGCCTGGTTTGCTTAGTCTTGATTTCTGCTGTGACATTCGGATGGCAGGGCTAGAATTTGGTGTCAACAACATGAAAGCATAAATCCATCCTGCCTTGTATTAATGGTCAGGCTGGTGGTGGTGTAATGGTGGGGGGGATATTTTCTTGGCACACTTTGCCACAGTCTACCTGGGTATTGTTGCTGACCATGTCCATCCCTTTATGACCACAGTGTACCCATCTTCTGATGGTTACTTCCAGTTGGATAACACACTGTGTCATAAAGTGCAAATCATCTCAGTCTGGTTTCTTGAGCATGAGTTCACTGTACTCAAATGGCCTCCACAGTCCCCATATCTCAATCCAATAGAGCACCTTTGGAATGTGGTGGAACGGGAGATTCGCATCATGGATGTGCAGCCAACAAATCAGCAGCAACTGTGTGATGCTATCATGTCAATATGGACCAAAATCTTTGAGGGATATTTCCAGTACCTTGTTGATTCTATGCCACGAAGGATTAAGGCTACCTGGTACAAGTAAGGTGTACCTAATAAAGTGGCCGGTGAGTGTATACTATATAAATATAGCAAGGGACAACTAATATTATTATAATATCATATATATCTCTAATATCTATGCTGTTCTTAAGCAATTTTAAACCTTGAAAACTGTAGATTAATATTCGAGGATTTCCAGCACCTGTATGAACCCTAACTATTATGAGTACCTGAGTTTTGTAGTTGAATTTCAAAAAAAGTATTGACCACAAGCCAGTCCAGAAGCGCTGAAATGAAAGAAAAATGCTGTCTTACCTAGTTGGAGGATAGCGATGTATCTTGCCCAGGTAGAAGTTTGGGATGTTCAATGTGAGAGAAGAGTCCGTCTGTGATGGCAAAGTGTAGATCTCTCCTCCAGCTGTTGTCTACTGAGGGGACGGCTTAAGATTCCCACTCTGTCTGTCCACGTCTGCTTCTGTCTGGCTCCGACTATCCTCACCATTCCCTGACACAAACAAACAGACAGGTTTACACTTAAGCGATGAGGTCAGAGGTGCAGAGCCATATTATCATTTCCCCTATTAGACTGCTGGATTGCAAATTTGGTTATAATCAAAATGCTTTTTAGACTAATCAACCTCCGTAACTGCACTGTATGCGCAGAAATGGCTGTTCGTACTGGCGGTATGTGAATTTGAGAAAAAGGTAAAATAAACATGTTTTGAAATCCTCTCATAATGCTACCGTCACTCCTCTTGAATATGTAACCAAGGTAACAAGAGACTAGTTGAGAATGTACTTTAAATAGTTTCAGCCATATGAACAAGCTAGACGCTGCAGCGTTGGGATTTCCTTTACTATCAGACTAAAACCACAGATCGATCTATTAATTAGACAATAAATCAGTAATGAATGTATTTTGTTACATAAACATTGATTAGAAAAATATCTTGTGCAGAAAATATTACAAGGATTTGTATTAAGGCATACAGTAAGTGCCAAAAAGCCATTTAAATCCACAAATTGATATTAATTTAGTAAAAATACAATTTAAAAATGCTTGAATCACAGTTAAAAAGCTATATATATATATATATATATATATTACATTATGTTATATTATGTTATATTATATTATATTATATTATATTATATTATATTATATTATATTATATTATATTATATTATATTATATTATATTATATTCATCCGCTTATGCGGTGGCGGGTCGTGGGGGCAGCAGTCTAAGGAGAAAACTCAAGACATCCCTCTCCCAAGACACTTCCTTCAGCTCCTCCAGTGGGATACCAAGGCGTTCCCAGGCCTAGTGACATAGTCCCTTCAGCGTGTCCTTTGTCTTCCACGAGGCCTCCTCCCAGTGGGACATGCCTGGAACACCTCCCTAGGCCACCTCAGCTAACTTCTCTCGATGTGGAGGAGCTGTGGCTCTACTCCGAGCTCCTGCCGGGTGACAGAGCTCCTCACCTTGTCTATAAGGGTGCGCCCTGCCACCCTGCAAAGGAAACTCGTTTCAGCTGCTTGTATCCGAGATCTTGTCATCTCGGTCATGACCCAAAGCTCATGAGCATAGGTGAGAGTAGGATCGTAGATTGACTGGTAAATCGAAAGCTTTGCCTTTCAGCTCAGCTCCTTCTTTACCACAACAGACAGATACATCGACCGCATTACTGCTGCTGCTGCACCAATACACCTGTCAATCTCACGTTCAATCCTTCCCTCACTCGTGAACAAAACCCCAAGATACTTGAACTCCTCCACCTGGGGTAAGGACATTTCTCCAACCTGGAAATGGCAGACCAACTTTTTTCCGGTGAAGCACCATAGCCTTGGACTTGGAGGTGCTGATTCTCATCTCAGCCACGTCACACTCAGCAGCAAACCGCCCCTGTGCATGCTGAAGGTCCATGTTCAATTAAGCCATATGAACAACATCGTCTGCGAATAGCAGAGATGAAATCCTGTGGTCTCGAACCAGACCCCCTCCAACCCAAGGCTGCGCTTTGAAATTATGTCCATATAAAATATTAACAGAATTGGTAACAAGGGGCAGCCCCGCCAGAGTCCAACATTATATTATATTATATTATATTATAATTATATTATATTATATTATATTATATTATATTATATTATATTGTATTATATTATATTATATTATATTATATTATATTATATTATATTATATTATATTATATTATATTATATTATATTATATTATAACAAATTGTCTCCATAGAATTATAAGGTTATATCTGCGTTCTAAATGATTTTGAGATATTGAGCTTCAAAGTTTTGCATTCCATATACAGTAGCAAACAATATGCATGTAACAGTTGTCTTTTATACATTAACATTACAGAGACCCTAAATGTACTCTAAATTATATAAAATTTGCAAATTAGGGTAAAAAAAAAACAGAGAAATGCAGATAGGACCTTTAATTCTAAAAGGTAATTTTCTGCTAGGAATGACAGGGTTCTATCTGGCAGATCATTCATTGAAGCATTACTTTTCGAAAAATATAATCTGCTTATTAATTTTAATTAAAAGAATAAAATTGGTGTTATAACAGTATGTTTATGTTTGAAAAAGTATTTTTTTTGCATTCTTTAACATTTAATTAATGTTTTAGGATTAATATTTTTTCTTGTTTAAATTAAGCATACAAGGCTGTACTAAATATTTTGCCAGTGCAGATGTTATCATGTAATTATTATGGATTATATACTTTATATGAATTACTAAAGTAAATTTATTTAATTATATGCCCCATGAACTAAATAAGTATTTACCCTTCAAGGCTTAATATCAAATTTAAAGACAATGAGCGAAAAAGTTTAATAAATACTGAAAAATGTTACACAAATAAAAATATTTTACATTTAATATATTTCATTTTTCTAACAATTGTTGTTGTTTTTTTTAACCATGTAAAATGTACCATTTAATCTCAATGTCAAAAACACTTCAATCATTACATTTATTTTCAGTTTCAGGTTTCTTTTTAGTTTTATGGGGTGCGGCATTATTTAGTCCACTCTAATTTTGTGTTTCTTTCTGGTCTTTTCTGCTGTCATTGAAGCAGTCTGATGAAATAACAAAGAAAGCTGATCCTGATTGTCCCTCATGTGTGCATTCGAAATGCTGATTGGCTCACAGAAAGAACTTTATAAAGCCAAACTAGAGCTTGAATTTATAGATTAAACCTTTTTTGTTTTTTAAATAAAAAGTCTTAAACTGTAAACAACTTAAACCTAAACAAATAACTCAATTTGGACTAAAATGTCAGACAGAACTTTATAATTCTAAAGCGATGACATGACCAGAAAACTCATTCGCTTGTGGAAATTCATTCTAAAAGTCAGTTATATATATATATATATATGTCTCCATGTAAAATATCTAAAATAATCCCATAATTATCCTAATCAAATGCATAAACACCATTTACATTTTATAAAATGTTTTCGTAATGTCATTAAACTTAATTTATATTTAGATAAAAAGCTGAAAATTCAGCTTTGCCATCCCAAAAATAAACTATATGTGACAATGCATCAAAACGTTATTTTACATTACAATAAAATGTTGACATATTTACACTTTTTGATTGTATTTTTGATTTAGGAAATTAAATGAATGAATCCATATAAAGCATTCCTCCGATTTAATGCCGTCTCTTTCACTAGTAAGTGTACATTCCCCTACACGAAGACATTTTTAAAAACCAAAACATGTTTCTTTTTCCTTAAACCATCTGACCTCTCGGTTCAGACTATTGGTTCATCGGAGGGCCGAACGCTGTGAGGAAAGGCTGTTTAATCAGAATCGCTCTCCACGTCTCTGAAGCTCCTGGGGGAGACACACTCACAAAACAAACACTGGACACTATTTATAGATGCCTGTCGACATGGCAACCACTCTTTGTTTGTTTGAATCAGAAACTATTTCTCCTTTTTCCCCCTCAAATGTTTCGCTTCTCGCTTCAAAGCAGACATTGAGAATTGAGACACTCGATTTTATGTTCCTCCAAAAAACAAGAGACAAGGCCGGAGGATGTGCTCCGACAGGACTCTTTTGGTCGTTCGAGTACGAGCTACATGTGCTCTTCGAAAATTTGTTATGTCAAATCTATTCTGAGTAAACCGCAAGTTAAGCTTGTTTAATCACATCAACCAAGGCAGCGTGTGGTATTTATGAGAGGAGAGAAGTCACAAGCTGTTTAAAGTCTATTGGTTAAAATCTCAACAATTTATTTGCTCCGAATAGACTTTTTGTACCCCAACGGAAACTGTTTTTTCACCTCCAAAAGCTTTGCAACTGACATAAATCACTGTATAATCTAATTTACAACTATGTATTTCACTGGTTTTCACTGAGCTTCAATTATATTGTGATTTACAGGACATAATTAGTAGTTCATTCACTTAATCATGTGGTGTATGGTTTAGAAAAACGATTCCTATGGATAAAATTTTACAATAAAAGTCTTTAACATCAATGTTTTTTTTTTCTCTTTCTCTTGAAATGATACTGGAGTGAGTTCTCCAGTGAGTTTTACTTCCACAACAATGCCTAAAAACATGGAAATGGCACATTTTATGAAGCAGACATGAATGTATAATGTCAGACAGACGAGCATACTCACACAAAAACCCTTCCTTGTCTTAGTCAGCAGCGCTGGGTTTTGCTGACTGATTGAAAAGGCAGGAAAGTCTACTACTAACACTCTGATGCCCCACCCACTGTCAGTCAGACCACACCCACCTCTTCCTTTACAGCCTCTCAGAATAAAATGTGCAAAATGTGCATCTTTACGAGGACAATAACTTGTCATAAAGCCAATTGTTTTAAATAGACAGTACTGTGGGTGTAGATATGGTATAGAGTTGTGTCCTTAAGGATAATGCCCTAGTGACAAGTTGTTGTTTTTTACATTTTTTATCATGTTGTAGGAATTGTAGACATATTACGTTACATAATGTCTTGACATTATCAAGGTGCTATTTTAGATACTACTTAGTCATAGTAACAGTATTACGGTTAGTCATGTGATGCTTCAAAACCTAATCGCACACAATCACAGTCAAAATAAGATACAGGCTTACTGGAACTATAGTTAAGAGTAATAATAATAATAATAATAAAGTAAAACTTTCTTGCCGAATTAAATAGTGTTATTCATATTTTCCAAAGCTTTTATATTAATAATGCTAAACATATTTGCCACATACATACTGTATAGTAATTATAATAGTGAATGTTTGTCTTAAAGTTTTTGTCTGGTTTCTAGTCCAAATATCTAAAAATGCTTAAATCAAGAAGCATTTTCTAGACAAGTAAAAATATTGCTTTGTTTTTAGAAATAATAAGTAATAATTAAGTGAGTTTTTTCTTTAAACAAGCAAAATAATCTGCCAATGGGATATATTTTAGGTACTTATCGCATTGGCAGGATTAACCCTAACTTTGAATTAGATTTTT